CTCTCCCATTTTTAAATTGCATTTGTCAAAGAAGCAAATCATGCAAATCCGGGCAAACCACAGCAAAACTCTGCATTGTTAAGGAAATGATGTAGTTCAAATTGGCAGAAACCAAAACTGGAGACACGGCAAGTGGCAAAAGAATTCTAAAAGCGAAGCAAAATCGAAACAAGACACAACATATAAAGCAGACACACTTCCATTCTATTAAAGCAAGATTTTTCCCGCCAAAAATTTTCAATAAGGCCTGTGAATCTTTGCTCTGGGTTTGGAATACATGGGTAATTGATGTTTTTCGTTAAAAGTCTTTTACTGTTTGGAATTTTCTACCTATTTTTGCGGGGCTTATTTAGTTTATTTTGCACATTTTCTTGCGTTTTGTTGGGAGTGCAGCAGCAGTAGTAGGTAGTAGTACCTACTACTTTATAATGAAAATTTCCCTTATAAGCTTGCTTGATAGGATAGTGCATGGATTTACATGTGTAAAGGGTTGTTTACAAGAATTTGTGGATCACAACAAGACAGATAAATGTTACGTGAAAAGAAGAATGTAACAAAAACACAATATAGTGGCAGTTATTCGAATGAAGAATCTAAAAAAACGGGCAAAATAGACGCTAAGTTTTGGTTGGAAAGTCTTAAAGTAGATCTAGATTCATGCAATATCTTTTATAACGGGTCAGTTAATACTCATATTTTATAAATTCAATATATTTTTGAAAATTTTGTTGCGTATTGTTTTTCCAATTCCATGTCCTCTGGACTCCACTGTGATGTGCTAAGTATTTTTGTTTAAATTCGATTGGCTAATCGCCCAAGTAAATATTGAAATTTTAAATAGAAACGAAAGAAAGTAGAATCAAAGGTATTGAAGATCTAACGGTGTAATTAAGGATTTAAAATTCGATACCCCTAATGATTTTCTATTTCACTTTCACTCAAGAAGCTGGTATATACATCAAAATATTTTGTTGCAATTTTACGAAAAAAATTAAATATATTTAAAAAATAGTACGAAAAAAAAATTGAAGTGTATTGAAAAAATCCCCAAAATGCAGTATTTTCATTTGTGTATTGACGACAATTAAAAACTCCCAACCCTGTGTTTTTTATTTTACATTGGAGCACGCACACACACACCAACACTCACTCAAACGGTATTCACTGTGCATCGGTCGCTCTCTTTACAAAACATCACTCTTTTGTTTAAAAAAAAGCAAGATATGCTCTTAAAAAGCAATAAGAACAGACAACAAATCAACCAAGGGGAACAAAAATGGCGCCAAAAATTCTAAAAGGAAACCCTATTCAAGAGAAACCATGCCAAGCAATATGCTCTTTGAAACGATTTAATTGGGAGAGACATAAGACCGTTGAAAGTAGCAAACTGCTTTTTAGCTAATTGGGAAACATGAACAAAAAGCCGGCCTTTTCTTTTCCACATAAATTTCTAGTTCAAATAAATAAAAAAGGAAGTTTAATCAACAATTTTTCTTTGTATATTACAAGAAAAAATCACGTATGTATTGCAAAAAATGTATATTTCTTTATTAATAAACCGGTTAGGTTAAAACGACGAAAATCAATATGGCTGGCTGGCTGATACTTCAGCCAGTCACAATGCGAACAATAAATAATGGGGGTAAATGACATTTCGTGCAAAAAAAAAGAAAAAACGAAAGATTAGGCCACGGAATTATTTATTAAAATAACGAATATTTCTTCCAAATACTAATAATTCTTGTTGTCTAATTTCCCATTTAATTCCCAATTGGAACAGTCGTCGCTGTTTTGCGGCGTCTTGTCTTTCTAATTTCAATTTCTTGTGCTATACGCGAAGGAACGCGTGCATAAAACACCGAGACAACCGCCGATCGACCTCCAATGATTTGCATTTTTCTTACCTGATTTTAACACAGCAACGTTGCCTGAATTATTTCAAAAGTCAAAATACTTTGTCCTTTACACACTTTTAAATCCTTTCTACACAAAAAACACAATTAGTTTCTTTATTGCGAAACCGAAAAAACACCAAACAAATCGAATCACCTTCAAAGTATTCTGCAGACTCTGACTGTACCTCTATGAAATATTTGCACCAAGCCAAGCAGCTACACTTGTTGTATGTTGCCACCTGTTCGAAAAAGTGTGCAAACGATAATCGATAATTATCTGGCAATGATGGGAGTAATCGTCGCAGCAGGGTTGTATTTATTTTTGATGTTTAATGGTTTGGGGGGTGGAAAGTCAAGTGTGCCCGACTTCTGCCAATTTTATGTATGTATTCATTGTTTTGAAAAATTAAAAAAACAAAATATTCTTAAAATTAATGACTGGAAGACACATAAATAGCGGGCTGCGCATTAGAATTTTTTCTGGAAATGCTTTTGTACGCTTGTAAACAATGTAACGAGCTGTCACGGGAATAATTTTAACAGCTGTCGGATGAAGGCCTTACAAATGACACCAGTCTGAAGTTGGTTGGATTTTTTTTTAACTCACCCTGTAGATTATTATCTATCGCTGTCCCAGAATACCAATCACTACTGAAGCACATAAGTAATACATCGAATCTTAGATGAGGTATTATGGCACTATGTTTTTCCATTTCTTAAACGTAATATTGGGTTATTTTTATTTATATTGTGAAAATGGAGCACAGATTTTTAATTTAAAATTATTGAAACGTCTTTCGTTTTTTTTAATAGATTTTTTTATTTTTTTATAGATTATTCAAATGTATAAAAATTGTAGAAAAATGCATACATAACAACCTCCGATTGGTGTCGTAAAAGAAAACTTATAAAAATCTACTTATTTTTGAAAAAAAAAAACATTCGGCCCTATTACGGGTCTCGAGGCAACAATAATCATATAAGGGTTGCTGTTTTTTGTCGATGGCGAAAAATTATTGCTATTATCATTGTCGATACAACAGTCGACGTGAAGTCGATTTTTGAGAATATCTGTCGCCGTAAAAAATTGTGACGGCATTGTATTTTTAGTCGACGTTGATATAGTAATACGGGAAACTTAAGTGTAATAGACGTTATAGTTCATTAAAATGGGCAAGTGGACAATGCTGATGACGAGACTGACTGCAGCATAAACTTTTGGAACAACACAATCAAGAGTCGGGCAATGAAAATATATTTGTTCGCCGCCTTAGCGCTCGCCGCTGCACTACCAATACATTCTCCTCTTCATCCTCACTTGAACTTAAGATATGCAACGCATTTATAACATTTATTTTTTTTTTGACAATTTTTTTTTTTATTTTTCCGATGAAACGAAATTAGAATTCAAAATACAAACAAATTTTTAACTTTTTCGTCAATAACAAGGGAGTGTTGCCAACGTTTTTTTTAATTGTTGCCAACTTTTATTTTAAACTGTCGATGTCGCTTCTATGCCTTACCGTAATACCATTTTTGAATCGAAGCGACGACGGGGGCGATTTGCACATAAAGTCGACGACGACTATAGTAACGACCATCGTAATTGGGCCGAATACAAACAAATTTTTAACTTTTTCGTCAATAACAAGGGAGTGTTTCCAACGTTTTTTTTTTAATTGTTGCCAACTTTTATTTTAAACTGTCGATTTCGCTTCTATGCCTTACCGTAATACCATTTTTGAATCGAAGCGATGGCGGGAGCGATATGCACATTAAGTCGACGACGACTATAGAAACGACAACCGTAATTGGGCCGATTTTGAAATATTCTTCTACCATGCAGCGGCGCTGTTATACATACATTTCCCAACCCAATTGTCCATAAAAAATGATAACAAACATATCCGCATGCCACAAAATTCTTCTATCAAGGCGAAAATAAATATTCCAAGCATGAATTTTGACATTTCATCTGATAAAATAACAGCTGTTTTTAGATTAATTCGCTCGTAGGAACAGAATACTCCCAAATAAAATAAAAGATTCAATTATTTTTCAGTATGACAAGCGTTATACACATACGTTGTATTTGTTTTATTAAATTCTCAATTAATTATTACTAATTAATATTAACTAAGAAATATTTTTATAAAATATTTTGTATTTTTAATACATAATCTAAGAGAAATCATATATTCGATGATATTACCTAAAAATAAATAGCATAAACAGGGAGGGTGGTTTGGATTCGTGTTCTATGAAAACGTAAAATGAAAAACATTGTCTTTATAAAATCATGGTACAATAAAGAGGTAGAACAGCTTCGTAAAAGTAAAGAAATACACCCCTGAGGCTATGCCCACTTTCTGTCAGAATTATTGAAAAGTAGATGCAACAGGTGGCTCTCATTTATTTAATATTTTTCATTATTTTGAAAATTGATTAAAAAACGCGAAAGATGAATGAAATGCTTGGTTTTTTCTTCAAAAATATTATCTAAATTTATCAATTTTCCAATTCCATGGCAAAAATGGTTATTACCTTTAAAGTGTACCCTGCAATGTACTTTTACTCCAATCATTGATATTAAACATATTTTGTTTTTGCTTTTCAAAAATATAAATTCATACAAAAAATTGGCAGAAGTCGGGCACACTTAGAAAAAAATTTGAATCAGCGGGTGGCTCTACCTTACCTCTTTATTGTACCATGTATAAAATGATTCCTTTGGGCTTTTCTTTGCATTGATTAAAATTTTTTCATTTAACATTTCCATAATAACTTTACAAGAACTTGGTAAAGGCAATAAAATTAACATTGAGGCGTGTGTTTTTTTTACAAAAATACCGAGGCAGCTGGAAGGCAAGATAGCCTAAGCTCTGTGCTGCTATGGACCAAATAATATATTTTTTAAAATATGGACTTGTCGTTGACAACTTAACCACTTGGTGGTGTTAAAAAAAAGATGGAAACATAATTAAAATTAAGCGAGAGCATGTTGGAATAACGATGAATAAATATATAACATGGAATGGTGTAAATCACCTAATAAAAAATCGTAACAAATCAGTCGGAGTTTTTTTTTTTTTTGAGGGAGATGGATACATTTTTCAATTTGTAACTGCAATCAGTTATGACAGGACTTGTACCAATATGTTATTATTACGATTATCGACAAAAATCAGTAACTTTCAAATAATTAAAATTTAAAAAATTATTTGAAATTGGTCTTAGCGATTTGTATAATAGCATCGCTGACACACTGACAAAATTTCGTTAATTGCCTGAAAAATGAAAAGCAATTGAAAAATTACTGCTATCGACAGGGAACAGACGTAGACGAGCAACATATTTACACATAATCGAAAAAAAAAACACTCACAACCATACCATTTTTAATTGGCATTCTTGGCCAACACTTGTAAGGCTTGTTTGGCAGCAGCTTTCTTCGCCAGAATGCCATTGCTGCCAAAACCATTTGTCGTCACCGTACGATCCAAACAGTTGAAAATACACTTCACCAATACCGTATCATTGTCAATTATGGGTTTCGAATACACCGGATTGGCGTGTTTTATTTCACCCAATTGGCGGACGGGATCAATGGGTATTTCGCGGGAGAATTCATTCAGTTCATTTTCGAAGAGATTAAAAATCACTTTCCATGTTCTCTCCAGATCGCGACAATCCAAATAGATGGCACCAATTAAGGCCTCCACAATATCACCCAATGTCTTGGGTACATCGATTTTAACCGACATATAATATGAGGGTGATGATTTAGATGGCGTCGTCGCATCATCACTAATTGCGGGGAAAGCCTTTGGCCCATCATCATCAAACACATCCATTGCATCAGGATCATTATCGTCGTCGTCGTCGTCATCATTCGCATATGGATCTAGTTCATTTGAAGTTTCTTCCATGAGTATGCGCACCTGATCGGTGACTCGATGATCTTGGGTCTCTTGAAATTCGGCAAACGTTTTAATAGCTTCGCCCAATTGACCATTCTCGTACAGCAGGAACAAATGGAATTTATAACGTACACAGATACAGGCCAGTGTTATGTTGTTGACCAAAGCGGAGCGCAGATCTGTCATTTTGCCCGGATCCATATTCTCGAAACGTTCAAATATGTAACAGGTCATCAACATATCGAGTATGGCATCACCAATAAATTCCAATTCCTGATAGCAGCCTAAAGGAAATAAATAAAAAAAATTAACAATATTTTTTTTTTAGTAAAAACTTTTACATTCTTGCAGTTCGGAATCCGATTATACATAGACATTAACTAAAAACAAGTAAAATAGTATCAGTCCGTTGTGCCGACAGATGTATACCCTCGGCCAATGTTCGATTATTCAAATATATTTTGACTTCTGTTTTGAATATTCGAAATGTTGACCCTCTATGGGGAGAAGGTTTCGAAGAAGTGTACCAATACTTTCCATATTATATCGGACCTAAATAAATATGATATAAATATTGCGATGTGCCAACGTTTGGACTATATTGGTTACTTTCTTCACTTTATATGAGATATTTGATAATTTTTAGAATCAAAATTTTGACCCTTTGTGGGTCAGGTTACCGGAAGGAGTGGGAGAGGATATATCCCATCTTCACAGCAGATCTTGTGTTGGTTAGTGAGATAATGAAATTTGTGAAATGTGAAGAGAGACGGATGCTTATTTCGGATTTTATGATCGTTTTGATTATTCAAAACTTCGACCCTTTGTGGGGGCGGTACCTGAAGAAATGGTTCGATCTCTACCATCTTCATAGCAGGTCTTTTGTTGATGAAAATACGGAGATGTGCCAAGTCTGAATGGATTCGTATGTTCATTTCGTGTTTTAAGAGCTTCATGGATATTCAAAATTTTGACCCTTTGTGGGGAGGTACCACCAGAAGGAGAGGACCGATATGTTCCACCTTCACAAGAGATCTTGGGTTAATAAAAATATTGTGATGTGAGTAATTTGAAGAGAACCGATTGCTTATTTCGGATTTTATGATCGTTTTTGTTATTCAAAACTTTGACCCTTTGTGGGGGAGGTACCAGAAGGAATGGTCCGATCTCTACCATCTTTATAACAAATCTTGTGTTTATGAAACTATTGAGATGTGCTGAATCAGAAAGGAATCGGGTGTTAACTTCGTGTTTTATGAGCTTCATGGATATTCAAAATTTTGACCCTTTGTGGGGGAGGTACCAAAAGGAGTAGACCGATATGTCCCACCTTCACACCAGATCTTGGGTTAATAAAAATATTGTGATGTGTGTAATTTGAAGTGAACCTGATGCTTATTTCGGATTTTATGATCGTTTTTGTTATTCAAAACTTTAACCCTTTGTGGGGGAGGTACCAGAAGGAATTGTCCGATCTCTACCATCTTCATAACAGATCTTTGGTTGATGGAAATATGGAGATGTGCCAAGTCTGAATGGAATCGGATGTTAATTTCGTGTTTTATGAGCTGTATGAATATTCAAACATTTGACCCTTTGTGGGGGAGGTACCCGAAGGAGTGAACCAATATATTCCATCTTCACACCAGACCTTGAGTGGATGAAAATATTGTGATGTGTGTAATTTGAAGAGAGCTGGATGCATATTTCGGATTTTATGATCGTTTTGATTATTCAAAACTTTGACCCTTTGTGGGGGAGGTACCAGAAGGAATTGTCCGATCTCTACCATCTTTATAACAAATCTTGTGTTTATGAAACTATTGAGATGTGCCAAGTCTGAATGGATTCGTATGTTCATTTCGTGTTTTAAGAGCTTCATGGATATTCTAAATTTTGACCCTTTATGGGGAAGGTATCAGAAGGAGTGGACCGATATGTCCCACCTTCACAAAAGATCTTGGGTTAATAAAAATATTGTGATGTGAGTAATTTGAAGAGAACCGAATGCTTATTTCGGATTTTATGATCGTTTTGATTATTCAAAACTTCGACCCCTTTGTGGGGGAGGTATCAGAAGAAATGGTTCGATCTCTACCATCTTCATAACAGATCTTTTGTTGATGGAAATACGGAGATGTGCCAAGTCTGAATGGATTCGTATGTTCATTTTGTGTTTTACGAGCTTCATGGATATTCAAAATTTTGACCCTTTGTGGGGGAAGTACCAGAAGGAGTGGACCGATATGTCCCACCTTCACAAGAGATCTTGGGTTAATAAAAATATTGTGATGTGAGTAATTTGAAGAGAACCGAATGCTTATTTCGGATTTTATGATCGTTTTTGTTATTCAAAACTTTGACCCTTTGTGGGGGAGGTACCAGAAGGAATGGTCCGATCTCTACCATCTTTATAACAAATCTTGTGTTTATGAAACTATTGAGATGTGCTGAATCTGAAAGGAATCGGGTGTTAACTTCGTGTTTTATGAGCTTCATAGATATTCAAAATTTTGAAACTTTCTGGGGGAGGTACCACAAGAAGTCGACCGATATATTCCATCTTCACACCAGACCTTGAGTGAATGAAAATATTGTGATGTGTGTAATTTGAAGAGAGCTGGATGCATATTTCGGTTTTATGATCGTTTTGATTATTCAAAACTTTGACCCTATGTGGGGGAGGTACCAGAAGAAATGGTTCGATCTCTACCATCTTCATAACAGATCTTTGGTTGATGGAAATATGGAGATGTGCCAAGTCTGAATGGAATCGTATGTTAATTTCGTGTTTTATGAGCTGTATGAATATTCAAACATTTGACCCTTTATGAGGAAGGTATCGGAAGGAGTGGACCGATATACTCCATCTTCACACCAGACCTTGGGTGAATGAAAATATTGTGATGTGTGTAATTTGAAGAGAACCGGGTGCTTATTTCGGATTTTATGATCGTTTTGATTATTCAAAACTTTGACCCTTTGTGGGGGAGGTACCAGAAGGAATGGTCCGATCTCTACCATCTTTATAACAAATCTTGTGTTTATGAAACTATTGAGATGTGCTGAATCTGAAAGGAATCGGGTGTTAACTTCGTGTTTTATGAGCTTCATAGATATTCAAAATTTTGAAACTTTCTGGGGGAGGTACCACAAGAAGTCGACCGATATATTCCATCTTCACACCAGACCTTGAGTGAATGAAAATATTGTGATGTGTGTAATTTGAAGAGAACCGGATGCTTATTTCGCATTTTATGATCGTTTTTGTTATTCAAAACTTTGACCCTTCGTGGGTGAGAGGTATCGGAAGGAATGGTCCGATCTCTACCATCCTCATAACAGATCTTGTGCAAGATCTAAAACCGTTATTTCGATGAGGCACGTTTTGGCCATATCAATTGACATATACCCTCTCTCTATCCATATGGAGTTTAATACCGAAAATAAGGAGGTAGAGTTATATGGGGGCTATACCAAAAAGTGGACACATATAAACTATTTTTAGAGAGGCTTTAGTCCACTTGGAAAGAGTACGAAAAATAAATGATAACACAAATCCACATTTAACCTCTAATAATAATTACCTGTTATCCTATTCGTTGGATACGATGGATGTGTCAGGGCCTGCAACAAATAGGCACGATCCTTGAACTGATAACCCAAATTCTTTTCCAAATGTTCCACGTTCAACAAAAACGCATTCACCTCCGATCTCGAGACATTCGTACGCAACTGGGCGCTGTTCAATTTCAAATCCAATAGATTGTCCAGCGGCCTGCCCTGCTCCGATTTGCATATGCCAAAGTATTCCAACATACGAAACGAGCGATGTATGCCGTAATTTTTCACACAAACCCCCAGCAATGCTTCCAGAGTGTCGGCCACAACTTTGTCCCGCAACACATATTGATAGGCATACATGTTGATTTCATTATCCGGTGAAACATTGACATTGCCCGCCAATAGGCTTTGATTGCGGACACAGGCCTGGGCAAAACGTTCCAGTTTTTCGCCCGAACATTGGCCCGTCTTCATTTCCGTCTCGGTCAATTGCAGATTATAGAAATCTTTGGGTTCCAACATTGCCACCGCTGTTGCGGGGAATTTTGCCAACAAATCCAACAGATTTGAGGGTAAACTAGACAATGGGGCCAGCCAGGCGGAGTTTGGTTTGAACAGGGCGCTGCAAATGCGTTGACAAATATCCGTATCCATTAGACAATAGAGCAAATTACGATTGGAGACCATGCGACTTTTAATGACGGTCAGATAACCTTCGTTCCAGGTTGTATATTTATTGGTTAAATACAGCGAAGCGGAGAATTTGAGAAAGGCATCACCCAACAGCTCATAACGTTCCATATCGAAAACATCGTTAACACCGGCCGTGGTGAGGGCAGCCAAAAATTCATATTGTTCAGCTGATTTGAGCTGATTGTCGGCCACAAAATTCAATTTCAATATATTTATATTGGTCTTATCTTGGCGCGGAGTGTCCCGGATGGACAAACGTTGTTCGCCCAAAGAGTTGGAACCGCCACCACCACCACTATTAACTCTCATTGGAACATGGGCATCCAGTTGACATTTGGTCCATTTCTCTTCTTCTGTTAATTTCATGTTTTCCAATTTCTCTATAAAATCCGATATGAATTTATGATAGTAATCAATTTCAATTGGATAGGATTTGTCGAGACGTCGTTGCAGGTCGACTGGTTCCAAATGAGATTTCCAAGTGGTCGCGTCATCTAGATCCAGTGATTGAACTTGATAGTCTTTGGTTGGCTCCTTGGTTGGTAGGGAAGCTATGGATTTTTTGTACTGTCGAGAAGAAAAGCGAAAAGAAAAGAAAAAGACAAAAGCCATTCATATAAACAAAGTTCGCTGCAAGATCATAGGTATCATGGGATCATCCTACTTAAAGAGAGGGGACTAGAAGAGTCCCCAGAAAACCTAATAAAAGCTAAAAAAACAAGTTAAAAAGTATCAGTCGGTATTGCCGCCAGAGATATACCCTCAGCCTATGTTCGATTATCTAAATATATTTTGACTAGTGTTAAGGTTATTCAAACGTTTGACCCTCTATGGAGCAGATGCCGAAGGAATGGGCCAATATTGACCATTTCCTATCGGACCCAAAATATGATATAAATATTTCGACAGATGTGCCAAGTCTAAATGGAATCGCATGTTAATTTGGCGATTTGTGAGCTTCATGGGTACTCAAAATTTCAATACTTTGTGGGGGAGGTACTTGATGGAGTGGACCGATATTGTCTATTTTCACACCTGTCCTAGCACTGACGCAAATATTAGGATTCGCAAAGTCGGAGCAAATTCGGATTAGCCTTTCTTTTTCAGTGCAAAAATGTAGTTTTTTTTTTTGAAAATTTCGACCTTTTGTGGGGGAGGTTCCTTCTGGTACCGATATTGTTCATCATAACACAAGACATTGGGTTAATATAAATATTGGGATGTGTGAAATTTGAAGACAATCGGACTCTTACATAACTTTTTATGAGAGTTGTAATTATTCAAAATTTTGACCATTTGTGGGGGAGGTACTTGATGGAGTGGACCGATATTGCCCATTTTCACACCTGACCTAGCACTGACGCAAATATTAGGATTTGCAAAGTTGGAGCAAATTCGGATCATCCTTTCTCTTCCTGTGCAAAAAATATATTTTTTGAAAATTTCGACCTTTTGTGGGGGAGGTACCAGAAGGAGTGGACCGATATTGCCCATCTCCGAACTCGATCTAAGTTTGACAAAAATATTACGTTGTAGCCAATTTGAACCAAATCGGATACTCCCTTCGAGAGTTATCGTGCGCACCAGCCAGCCAGACAGACAGACGGACGGACAGACGGACATCGCTAGATCGACTCCAAATGTTCTGAAACGGATTTGGTCCAAAGAGACCTAGGGTCTAAAACCGTTATTTCGACTAGGCACGTTTTGGCCGTATCAAATGATATATACCCTCTGTAGCCATATGACTGAGGGTATAAAAAACAGTTTAATTGAAGCGCTTTTAAAAAAGACCTTCAAATCGTTTTTGTACGGATCAAAACCCCTCCCCTTTAAGGAAACCTCTAGGTCCTCTAGGTAGTAGACAGGTAAATTTTAATTGTATCTTTCGTTTGGCTCACATACCTCCTTTTCTCGCACCACATTATCATCATCGTCCAGAACTCGTTTCAGCGATACATCAATTATCAACGGCTGCGGCCGATAGTCGCCAAAGTAACGTTCCAAACCCAAATATTGATTGATGCGCCGACGCAAACGCTCAGCATGTAACATATGGACAAGGCGATGCAAAATGCTGGGCAACAGCAGGGCTTTCAACCACAAATTTCCGGGATATTGATAATTATGACACAATTCTGGCACTAGAATAATGCGATTGGTTTCCTTTCGTTTTTCACTGCTTTTATTGCTGGCATTATTGAAGAAATTTCGACGATGTGTTAATGGTTTCACCTCCAACAGGAATTGCCGCGGATTAGCTATATGGAGATTATAACGCGATTCATAGAATTTTGCATAGGATTTATAAGTTTCACCATCGAATGGACTCTCGGGTGTGAGGTCATCACGTATTTTTGTTACAATGAAATTTTCATGTTCCGCATCGCTGTACCATTTCGTAACAACCTTATCCAGATAATCCTGTGGACGGTAGAGAGCGGCATTGTTTCTTTCGGCCACTGTCCGTTTTGCCTGCAGTTGGGGGAAACGATTTACCAAGGACCAATCAATTGTTTGCTGTTCGTTTAGCGGCACTATCAAATAGGAATAATCCCTATTTCTATGATCCACCACAAGAAAATCTCTCCAAATATGCAGAATATCTTTGAATATCATTGTGTGGAAGTTTTGCAGTTGCTTCAGTTGCTGTTCACTTTGGACAACAACGGTTATGGGATTTTCCACGATTTTAATGCGTATTTTCCCCTGGGACATAAACAAGGGCATCTCCGCTAATTTGGGCAGCGGTTTGCTGGACAGGATAGCATAAGTGGTGGGCTGTCTAAAATACGTGTCAATATGTTCATTATAGCAATTCAATGGAAACTCGGTGGCATATTCTATGGCATAGGCATATGATGTGACACCCGGCGCCGGCATGGCATTAAAAAGTTCTTCGGGACATTTGCGTTGATAGATTCGCACCTGCTGCTTGCCAACTTCTTTGCGGCAAACTTTTGAGGGAGGAAGATGAAACATAGTTGAGAAAGAAGTTACTTTCTTTTTGTTTAAGGTTATCGCTTACCGCTATCATCAAACTTCTGCCAATGTTGGAAAAGATGGTTTGAAACTTTTTCAATACATTCCCTCTTGGTGATGGGCAAAAGGAAATCGTTCAGCTCACCATTTTCATAGAGTCGAACACAGGCCTTGAAAGCTGCCGAAATTTTTGCTTCTTTGGCAGTGTTCATATAATCGCTCTGAAATAAAGAATAAGTGTGTGTAAAAAACCAGATTTAAGAAAAACAAGTAACATAATATCAGTCGGATAGTCCAGAAGCAATGGTCCGATCTCTATCATATATATAACAGATCTTGTGTTGATGGAAATGTTGAGATGCGCCAAGTCTAAATGGAATCGGATGTTAATTTCGAGCTTCGTGGATACTCAAACTTTTGACCCTTTGTGGGGGAGATACCAGTAGGAGTGGGCTGATGTATTCCATCTTCACACTAGACCTAGGGTTAATGTAAATATTGTGATATGTGTAATTTAAAGAGATCTAGATGCTTATTTCGGATTTTATGATCGTTTTTGTTATTCAAAACGTTGACCCTTAGTTGGGGAGGTACCACAAGGAATGGTCCGATCTCTACAATTTTTATAACGGATCTTGTGCTGATTGAAATATTAAGATGTGCCAAGTCCGAATGGAATCGGATGTTAATTTTGTGTTATATGAGCTTTATGAATATTCAAAATTTTGACCCTTTATTTTATGGGGGAGGTACCAGTAGGAGTGGGCTGATATATCCCATCTTCACACTAGAACTAGGGTTAATGTAAATATTGTGATATGTGTAATTTAAAGAGATCTAGATGCTTATATCGGATTTTATGATCGCTTTTGTTATTCAAAACGTTGACCCTTAGTTGGGGAGATACCACAAGGAATGGTCCGATCTCTACCATCGTCATAACAGATCTTGTGCTGATGAAAATATTGAGATGTGCCAAGTCCGAATGGAATCGGATGGTTATTTTGTGTTTTATTGGCTTCATGAATATTCCACATTTTGACCCTTTGTGGGGAAGGTACCAGTAGGAGTGGGATGATATATCCCATCTTCACACTAGACCTAGGGTTAATATAAATATTGTGATGTGTGTAATTTGAAGAGAACCGGATGCTTATTTCGGTTTTTATAATCGTTTTGATTATTCAAAACATTGACCCTTTGTGGGGGAGGTACCAGAAGAAATGGTTCGATCTCTACCATCGACATAACAGATCTTTGGTTGATGGAAATATGGAGATGTGCCAAGTCTGAATGGAATCGGATGTTAATTTCGTGTTTTATGAGCTTTATGAATATTCAAAATTTTGACCCTTTGTGGGGGAGGTACCAGAAGGAGTGCGTCGATATATTCCATCTTCACAGCAGACCTTGGATTAAAAAGAAAATATTGTGATGTGTGTAATTTGAAGACAATCGGACTGCTACATTACATTTTATAAGGGTTATAATCATTCAAAATTTTGACCCTTTGGGGGGAAAGTACTGGATGGAATGGACCGATATTGTCCATTATCGCACCTGACCTAGAACTGATGCAAATATTAGGATTTGCAGCGTTTGAGCCAAATCGGATTATCCTTCCCCTTTCAGGGCAGTAAATTATTTTCCTTGAACATTTTGATATTTTGTGTGAGAGGTACCAGAAGGAGTGGACCGATATTGCCCATTTCCGAACTCGATCTAAGTTTGACAATAATATTACGATGTACCAAGTTTGAATCAAATTGGATACTCCCTTCGAGAGTTATCGTGCGCACCACCCAGACAGACGGACGGACATCGCTAGATCGACTGTAAATGTCCTGAAACGGATTTGGTTCAAAGAGTCTTAGGGTTTAAAATCGTTATTTTGCCGAGACACGTTTTGGCCGTATTAAATGATATAGCCCTATGGCTGAGGGTATAAAAACTTGACCGATGGACTGTTCTCGTAATTCCTAAAATTTGGTAGTTCCGTTGCATCGAGGAATATACCTATATATTTAGATTATTTTCTCAAGGAGCTCGGCTACCCACTAAGGAAACAAAATGTCAATTTTTTAGCCGTTTTGGTGGAAAATTTTGGGACAATTTCGACGAATCAGGAGTTATCGTTGAACGGGATCTACACCAAAATGTAAACCCATATATTCCAAACATCCGAGGTACCAAATTAATGGTTGTGTAGCATTGTAAAACAGTATTCTTTTAAAGACGGACTAACGGACATAGCCTCGATCGATGCCATTTTGAGTTCTTCCAACAAATATTTCGAGGCTTTGTAAATAAGATGGCAGGTATGGTAAAGGGTATACACAAAACAAAAAAACTCACACATATTATTTCTCGAACCGTAGACTGCAGAGGCAATGTCACAGATACAGCTATCTGACCTTTTTTATTTGGCAGCAATTTCGTATACCATGGCAGTACTTGACCAAAAGCATCCCACGGCAGACTTGCACAATAACGATTCAACAGAGCCAATGCTGAGGCTGCCAATAGCTTTGCACCACTGGGTATCACATAGGGCGGTATCAAATCCACAAACTGCTCGGCAATTTCCATTTCGCTCGGATCGTCACGCTCCAAGCAGCGTGTTATCAAAAATGTTTTAATCTCTTCATGAGTTTGACGATATTTGCGAATTTGTTCGACAAGTACCACTTTATTCGCTTCCGGGGTGAATATTGTGTAATATGAATTTTGACTGCGCGCCCGACCCTTTGTTTGTATATACGAGTTGAATGTCTTCAAGGGGTCGAATACAAACACATAGTTGCATGCCTGGACATCGATGCCTTCCTCCAGGACATCGGAACATATAATCATATTACATTCATGTTCGCGAAATTCTTTTATGGCCGACTTTTGCCACTTGGCATCCAATAAACTTTCAATGGAGGCCAGGATGTTCTGACGACCCACCATAAATTGGGGTTTCACAATGTCACGCAAATCTTTGCACTGTTCCACGTAACGTGCTACAACATGATATAGGCACTTGGCTGTGTAACGCCGATTGACAAACACCAAACAGGCAATGTCTTTGGCTTGTTTATTCTTGAATTTATCGCTGATGCAGCCCAAAAAAGATCGCAGTTTGGGTGTGGAATAATTTTGAATAACATGCAGAGTATTTATACAGCTATCGTTGCTGGTTGCAGCAGCCGTGTCATCTTCGTCCAGCATATCTTTGAGTTCCTTGACAATAATGTGACGTATACGTTCACAGTCATGCAGTATTCTTCGGTACATGTTCCGCAAGGCGATGGTTTCGGCTTGTTTCTTCTTCACTTCGAATTCTATAATGAGGGACATGATGGCTATGGAGGCGGGATATAGACCCAAATCATTCATTTGATAAATGAAATCATTGAGTAAATTTTTGGCAAAATTCTTTTTGTTGGGTTCACGTAACTTATTTAGGTTTTTTGACATCTTGAGGGTCACTGCGCCAATGCTCCAGCTGTCAATAAAAGTATTGCATTCCTCAACCAATTGCCTCACTTTATCCTCTGCCCTAAAGGTATGGCGATTAGATCCAAATGACACCATCTCTTCGAAGGGTTTGGTGGAGTAGCTTTAAGTGAATGTAGAGAAAAATAAAAATAAAAAAAAAACGCTACTTGTTCTGGTCTAGAATATAAACTTACACCATAACATTTTGCATTTCCTCGGCCGAGCGAACCGTAATTATATTCCCACGCATTGTTGATTCTAGTTTCTTCAATTCGCCTATAACATTGCCCAGCTTGTTGCCTTTGATTAGAACACCAGTCAAGCCAATTACGCGAGGACCCTCCGTTGGCTGTAGAGGAAAAACACTTAGAAATGTTTTCATTGGATGACCGCCGGTGGCATGATGGCATTCATCAATAATAACCACACTTAGATCGGAGACTTTAATCAAGTTTTGCGTTAAAATGTCAACGAAAATTTGGGCGGTACCAACGAAAACCTGAAGATAAAGAGAAACGATGGAGAGAAATGTTGTTGGTGAAAGTTTGTTTGTTTGTTTTGAATACTCCAAACTATTTACCTGATGATCTTCTATTTCGGTTTCCCATTTTTTACGCTGCCAATTGTCGACATCACGTTCTCCAATGTACAAGCCAACTTTTAGATTGGTAGTTTTTCGAATTTCTTCTGCCTGTTGTCGGGCCAATTCAACGGTGTTACACATAAAAATCGCACGTTTGCCACCATTTTTAATTGTGCTGGAATATAGTAATAGTAAGATATGAGAATATGGCGAACATAATATGTACACACTAGAACAGCAACAACAACAACTGAACTTTTCCATGTAATTTAAAAAGGGGAATCACTTATATCATCAAAAAATACCGAATATTGGGAGGTACAATTCTATGGGGGCTATACGAAGACGCTGACCTACACAGACAATTTTCTGTCATAGGCTGTAGTATCCAGTACGAACTTCAAATACCAAATTTGAAACAATTCCGGTGAATAACGTCGCTAAAATCATCACATAGCCGAAAATAGGGAGATACCATTAATGGGGGCTATACGAAGACGTGGACCTGCCCGGACAATTTTCTGTCATAGGCTGTAGTATACATTAGGAACTTCAAATATCAAATTTGAAACAATTCCGGTGAATAATGTAGATAAAATCATCAAAATATCGAATATCGGGAGGTACTGTTATATGGGTGCTATACGAAGACTTGGATCTGCACAGACAATTTTCTGCCATAGGCTCTGGTACCCATTACGAACTTCAAATACCAAATTTAAAACAATTCCGTTGAATAATGTCGCTAAAATCATCACAATACCAAAAATAGGGAGATACCATTAATGGGGGCTATACGAAGACGCTGACCTACACAGACAATTTTCTGTCTTAGATTGTAGTATTAATTACGAACTTCAAATACGGAATTTGAAACAATTCCGGTGAATAACGTCGATAAAATCATCAAAATATCGGATATCTGGAGGTACTGTTATATGGAGGCTATACGAGGACTTGGACCTGCACAGACCATTTTCTACCATAGACTGTAGTACCCATTACTAACTACAAATACCAAATTTGAAACAATTCCGTTGAATAATGTCGCTAAAATCATCAAAATACCGAATATCGGAAGGTACCGTATATGAGGGCTACACCAAAACGTGGACCTACATGGCTCATTTTCAATACCAAAAGTCCTGCAGACACACTATACATTAGAGTAAAATTTTACCAACCTTCTTCATTTCGTTTACACAGATGGACGGACATCGCTAAATCGACATAGAATTTTATGTGTACAAAATTTCCAGATTTCTAAGAATTAGAATAAATTTCTTTTCCATGGAAGAAGTAAAAAGAGTTGTACTGCTATTTACGGCATGTTCACTTCTTTTTTCATATAAAGATGCATTTTAAAACATTATACGGCGCCATCTGTAATGCATTTTATCTACTCTGCCTTTGCAAGGCACAGAAATTAAGTAAAGTCAGATCTTTTGCGATTGCTGGCTTGCCGACTTTCGACAACCGGTCTCTCAAAAGAAAACTGATTAAAATGCAAAAAAACTACACATTCACACAAATGCACTTACTTTTGCAATGTATGGGCGAATTTTTTCAAAGCTAATATCGCCACAAATGTCTTCCCAGCTCCAGTTGGTAGATAAATTATGCCATTTCTCTCCATAACATAATCCACCAAGTCCAATTGATATGGGCGAGGTTTGATCTGAAACAAAGAAAAAAAAAAACAACAACAAAATTGATAATTGCTCAACTTACATGTACAAATAAAACCAAACTTACAATATCCTTATCATCTTTAACAACATTCACCATTTTCAGGCATCAAATCTATAATCTTATTGTGGTTTAAAAATATCTTTAGTTTTAATCGCACTTCCTTTCATGTAGAGGAGTTCTCCAGGTATGATGAAATTTCATGAACAGCGTCTTATTTATATACTTTGCTTTGGTCTAGTGGACGCAGTGACGTGTTCGTTACAGAATGGTCGATGGCAGAGGGAGGCAGACGGGGCAGCCTACAAAACCGGGGAAGAACAAACTTTACAATGCAATTTCTGAGGAAGGTATCAATAAGCTGTTCTATCACGAATTCAAGAACCGCCGTTAAAAAGTAATTTTCTGGCAATGGACATAACAAAATGGGATCGATAGGTGTACTAAATGCTCTGTCCGGCCGAATGTTTTCTTCATATGTAGTGCCCAATTTTCCATGTGTAGAAGTTGTGATATATGGCTGCCATTTCAGTTGATCTTTCCCTCCATTCTTCTGAAGACCATTTTCGTTGTATGTTCGACATTACACACTTACTATTTAATTTCATAAATTACTTTTCGAAAACAACAAATAAATTAAAAATATTGATACCGCACTAGAATGTGCAGCAGCAGAAAATTATAGGGTTGTCGCTGTGTTGTTATTAAGTAAGGGATCTATAAATCGATATGTAACGAAACTCTATTGCCATAAATTAATCGGTGTGGCACTTGTCAAAAACATTATGGGGTGATTATTACAGACTAGTTACGCTCAAGACTCCTTTTGCAAAACATATTTTGCGATTAATTTCACTAAATTATAAAAAAAAAAATTAGATTTGTTCATATTTTTTTTTAAACTAAAATAAGAATGCCACTGTGAAAAATATCCAGTGACTATCAGTTTCATTTACAAAGAGTAATATTTTTTTATTTTATGTACTGCACTGTAAAAAAAATCAAATTTGAATAATTTCAACATTGACAATTAAACAATTTACAATTTATACAAAAAAAATTGAATGTTTGTAATTAGAAAATGTAATAATTGGTGAATTTTAAAAATGATAAATTTTCACAACGTCAGTAGTTGGCAAATTTTAAGATATGGACCTGGCATATTTGGGTAATACGAGCGTATAATACATATACAATGAGGAAGTTGAATATTTACGTACGCTATGTCGAGTTTTAGGTAACGTTGTTAATGGAATACAATTTAAACCCAAATTTTGGTATTCAGAAAATGTTATTCTGAAATTGGGTTCTTAAGGTTAGAACAAAGGAGTTTTAGGCCGACTTAGTTCTATTTTGGCCCTACGCTCGTATAGCTTATCGACATATGTAATTTTTAAATTTTTACTATTTTTCCCGTTTTAGTTTTTTTCCAGACCGAATTCCATATTTTTCCCTTTTAAGCTGCTATCACACTATAAGGGGTTTACATATGTGCTGTCACTCTTATTATCCATGTGTATTTCCGTGTGTATGTCAAAATTACCATTTTACATATGAATCAAAATTCTTGCTATCACACAATTGCACATGTTTTTTTATATTCTACAACACAAGATGGTCTCAGGGTATTATGTCTCTGTGCATTTGTTTGTAACAGGCAAAAGGAAAGTCGAATAGTTCCATCTGCATAGAATAACATTTATGCATGTCCGTACCTCCGTCCGTCTGCCCATGTATTTTTGTAAACAAAGTACAGGTCACATTTATTGTCCGATCCAGATGAAATTTTGCAAATGTCATTTGTCATCGATTGGCTTATTCGTAGATGAACAAAGGAGTTATAGGTTGACTTAGTTCGATGTTGGCCCTAAGCTTCTGTCTTCTTTTCCGAAGAACCCAGGCGATGACTTAAGCCAGTCAAAAAAGCATTTTATGTATTTTCACCTTAAGACTTTAATTATGAAAATAGGGCTCGCTGTGATCGAAAAGTATCATGGCAGAAGAATACAGGTAGACGCATGTCCACACATCTGTTAGGACAATGAACTTTCAAAATTATTCAAATTTGAAAAAAAAAAATTAAAAACGCATATTATAATAACCTCAAATTGATGTCGAATAAGAAAACATATAAAAAATTCTTACAAAAAAAGAAACATTTAAAATTTCTTAACTTATCAATGTTCTCAAGCGATGATCCATCTATCTGTATTCTTCTACCATGATTTGTACTTTACTCATGCATTTCACAACTAAAATGTGGTCCATGCATATGCACTACTTCTATGTATGGAAAAATACATATGTATACATTCTACATATGTAAAAAAACATATAATCTGATAGAGCCCTTACCGGTTTTGTGACTATTGAAAGAGTATATATATATTTTTTAAAAACGTTAATAAAAGCTTTAGACAGTAAAATTTCCCCCTTAAATTTTAGCCCCTCCCCCCACTTCATAAACAACAAATAAAAACATTAATTTCTTTTCATTTTTTTAGTTTTTGTTTATTTTTTTGTTAGACATAATTAAATGTTTGGATTTTTGTTGAAGTTTTTTGTTTGTTTTTGTGGATTTTTATGTTTTTTCTTTCTTTCATTAATATTCAATCTACAATTACATGTACATTTAAAGTTAAGTTTTTTTTGTTTAAAATATTTGTTTTTGTTTCTCTCTTCAAAATTTGTATGTATGCAGTTTTTGGTTTAAAATTGTAGCTTTCCAAAAGTTCCAATGGTCACTAGACATTAGATTACAAACCAGGTCACACACTGGTGCGCTAAGCAACAAGATCAACAAAAGAAAATGGTTGATTTGATGCTTTAGATCTTATAATTTGAGGTGTGGCCAGGTGGTTTTATCAAATATCTTGCCATTTAATTAACAAAAAAGTTAAATTCTTTTCTGTAATGAAAAACACATGTATTGATGTAATATACCCCAACACATACATACAATTGGGAAATCTAGTAAAACTTATAATTATTTTCATAAAATAATTACTTCAATTTACAAAACATGGTGTACATACACATAAAAACTAACCTTAAAAATAATTATGAAAGAATACTACTACAAAAAATTGCATAGAGAATTTGTTTAAAATATATATATAAAAAATAGAAAAGAAAACAGTATTAATCTTTTAATTTTCTATTCTTATTGCAATTTTGCATACATATATGTATGTACACATATATATATAAATCTAAATATATTGAAAAAATTTCCGTTTTTTTTGTAATATTATTTTTCTTTGTAAATATATGCCACTTTAAGCTTACATTTATAAAATGTTTAAAACTTATATTTGTAAGTTAAACATATATAATTTGTTTTTTGTTTTATTTAAAATGTATGTTTTGAAATTTGTATGCAGGTTATATTCCGTTGCCAATTAATTTACTCGCTTTCTTCTTCTTCCTCTTCTTCCGAGGTATCTTTCTTCTTGGCCTTCTTTACTGGAGCCTTGGCAGCCTTGCTCTTGCGTTTCTTGCCTGCGCCGGTATCAGTGCCACCATTGGCTTCGTATTCCTTAACGGCCTTGTTGTATTCTTCTTTCATTTTTAGCGCTTTTTGTTCCCATTCCTGAAAAATAAACAAATTAGGATAGGGCAAAAATTTGAACAGTGTTAAGGTGAGAATATATTAAACAATTTTTTTAAATGGCTTGACGTTTTTTACTGGTTTGACGCTTTTTTTGGCTGGCTTCTTCATAAAAGAACAAGCTAGCTTTAGTGTGACTTAGGTCGATTTTGGCCCATAAGTTATACTTGTTCACCCTTAACTCTTTTGTTCTTTTATGAAGAAGCCAGTAAAAAAAGTTCTTCATGTGCCTGGATATATTCATTCATATTATTCGAAATGTATTCGTGAACATTTTCTAGAATACAGGGTGAGATGAAAAAAAAACTGCAACAAAGTCAAAATGCCATAATTTTTACATTTTTTTTTAAATTTTAACAGCTGTCGGACGAATGGCTTAGAAATGACAGCAGTCTGAAGTTGATTGCAGTTTTTACATCTCACCTTAAAATACGGTGAGAATACATAAAACGCTTTTTGGACTGGCTTAAGTCTGACCTTAAACTGGCCTCTTGTTAGAGGAACAAAAGATGTTTTAGGTTGACTTAGTTCGATTTTGGTCTTACGCTTCTTTGTTCTTTTCCAATGACTTAAGCCAGTCAAATAAAGCGTTTTATGTATTCTCACCTTTATAATGACTTTACCCCCCCCCCCCCCATTTTATCTGCAAGTTTATACTTACACTCTTATCCTTAATAGCTCTCCACATTTCACCGCCCTTTTTGGCGATTTCTGTAACTTTGCTGCCGGGATTTTCCTTTTTGATTTGTTCACGATGTTCATTGAGCCACAGCATATAGCCGGACAAGGGGCGTTTTGGACGTTCACCAGCCATTTTTGTTGTTTTTTTCTGTTTAATTCAAGTACTAAACGAAAGGCTAAAAGTAAAAGAACAAAGTAAAACAAATTAGCTAAATTTATTGGAGTCAAAGGAAAATATAGTCAGTGAAAAGGTGAAAATACATAAAAAGCTTTTTTTAACTGGCTGAAGTCATCGGCTGACTTTTTCGTAGAGGAACAAAAAAGTTTTAGGTTGTCATAGATCGATTTTGGCCTACGCTCCTTTGTTCTATTTCGAAAAAGCCAGACGATGACTTAAGCTGGGAATACATGAAGCGCTTATCTGGCCCTTAAGCCTGTCAAAAAAGCGTTTTATGTATTCCCAACTTTAAAGCCGCTTAAAGGAAGAAGGCGCTTCATTGTGGGTTTTCAATTATTTATTTGAATATTTTTTTTTTGCTGGTATTAAAATTATGCCATTTATGAAAATGTTTATATAGTTGTATTTATTCACCCCACAACAAATATGCAATATTTAAATTTACACTTGTATGTGTGTGTGTATACCAAAAATAGGTGTATTTATATATCCTGCATAAATTCGTACTTAATTAGCTTTAATACATAATTATGCACGTAAATACATGTAAAACACAAGTGTCAATGACCTCCACATAACCGAAAACCAATATATGGTAATATTTTTAATTACGTATCGAATGAGCTATAATCTGGTCACATTTGAGTTTGATTACAATTTGTTTTCAATTTACAGGATTCTCGTTTTAATAAAAGTAGTTTGTTTTCCCATTTGTTTAAAGAAATCGAACATTGTAATTTTAGAAAATTTTATGTGTGGCCAGCCGATTTCAAGGACGTAAACGAAGAATTTTCGGTGATATTATTAAAAAAAACGATTTTTTTATTATTTTCTAAAAAGACTTGATTTCATGTGTGGCCAGGTAGCTATACAACAAACGAAATGCCCATTATTTAAGGTTCTATCAGACGAAATGTTTTTTTACATATATAATGTAAAATTTTCCATGTTTAGATTTTAACCAAAAGAAATAAAAACAAGTAAAAAAAAAGCAACTAAATTCGGCCGGGCCGAACTTATCATACCCACCACCATTTGGAAGCAAATTTTCAATAAAAAAACAAAAACGAAAAATACAATTTTTCCTTTATACAGGGGCTTCACGAAGACGTGGACCTGCATAGACAATTTTCTGTCTTAGGCTGTAGTATCCATTACGAACTTCAAATATCAAATTTGAAACAATTCCGATGAATAATTTCGCTAAAATCATTAAAATACCGAATATCGGTGGGTACTGTTATATGGGGGCTATACGAAGACGTGGACCTACACAGACAATTTTCTGTCGTAGGCTGTAGTATCCATTACGAACTTCAAATATCAAATTTGAAACAACTCCGATGAATAATGTCGCTAAAATCATCAAAATAACGAATATCGGGAGGTACCATTATATGGGGGATATACGAAGACGTGAACTTGCACAGACAATTTTCTGTCATAGGCTGTATTATCCATTACGAACTTCAAATACCCAATTTGAAAAAATTTCGATGAATAATGTCGCTTAAAACATCAAAATACCGAATATCGGGAGGCATATTTAAGTGAAGGGTATACGAAGACGTTAACCTGCACAGACAATTTTCTGTCTTAGGCTGTAGTATCCATTACGAACTTCAAATACCAAATTTGAAACAATTCCGGTGAATGATGTCGCTAAAATCATCAAAATTCCGAATATCGGGAGGTACCGTTATATGGGGGCTATACGAAGACGTGAACTTGCACAGACAATTTTCTGTCTTAGGCTGTAGTATTCGTTACGAACTTCAAATACCAAATATGAAACAATTTCGGTGAATAATATCGTTTAAAACATCAAAATACCGAATATGGGGAGGTAACGTTATATGGAGGCTATACGAAGACGTGGGCCTACGCAGACATTTTTCTGTCATAGGCTGTAGTATTCGTTACGAACTTCAAATACCAAATTTGAAACAATTTCGGTGAATAATTTCGCTAAAATCATCAAAATACCGAATATCGGGAGGTATATTTATGTGAAGGGTATACGAAGACGTTAACCTGCACAGACAATTTTCTGTCATAGACTTTAGTATCCATTAAGAACTTCAAATGCCAAATTTGAAACAATTCCGATGAATAATGTCGCTAAAATACTCAAAATACTGAATATCGGGGGTACTGTTATATGGGGGGCTATACGAAGATGAGGACCTGCATAGACAATTTTCTGTCATAGGCTGTAGTATCCATTACGAACTTCAAATACCAAATTTGAAACAATTCCGATGAATAATGTCGCTAAAATACTCAAAATACTGAATATCGGGGGTACTGTTATATGGGGGGCTATACGAAGATGAGGACCTGCATAGACAATTTTCTGTCTTAGGCTGTAGTATCCATTACGAATTTCAAATACCAAATTTGAAACAATTCCGGTGAATAATATCGCTTAAAACATCAAAATACCGAATATCGGGAGGTATATTTATGTGAAAGGTATACGAAGACGTGGACCTGCACAGACAATTTTCTGTCTTAGGCTGTAGTATGCATTACGAACTTCAAATATCAAATTTGAAACAATTCCGATGAATAATTTCGCTAAAATCATCAAAATACCAAATATCGGGAGGTACCATTATATGGGGGCTATACGAAGACGTTAACCTGCACAGACAATTTTCTGTCTTAAGCTGTAGTATCCATTACGAACTTCAAATGCCAAATTTGAAACAATTCCGGTGAATAATGTCGCTAAAATACTCAAAATACCGAATATCGGGAGGTATATTTATGTGAAGGGTATACGAAGACGTTAACCTGCACAGACAATTTTCTGTCATAGGCTGTAGTATCCATTACGAATTTCAAATACCAAATTTGAAACAATTCCGGTGAATAATGTCGCTAAAATGCTCAAAATACTGAATATCGGGATGTACCATTATATGAGGGCTATACGAAGACGTTAACCTGTACGGGCAATTTTCTGTCTTAGGCTGTAGTATCCACTACGAACTTCAAATACCAAATGTGAAACAATTGTGATGAATAATATCGCTTAAAACATCAAAATACCGAATATCGGGAGGTATATTTATGTGAAGGGTATACGAAGACGTTAACCTGCACGGGCAATTTTCTGTCTTAGGCTGTAGTATCCATTACGAACTTCAAATACCAAATTTGAAACAATTCAGGTGAATAATGTCGCTTAAATCATCAAAATACCGAATATCGGGAAGTACCGTTATATGGGGGCTATACAAAAACGTGGACCTATATGGCCCATTTTCAATACCAAAAGTCCTGCAGACATAAAATACATTTGAGTAAAATTTTATCAAATTACTTCATTTCGTTCGGAAGCTAGAGTGATTTCCACAGACGGATAGACGGACGGACATCGTTAGATCCTCTTAGAATTTTATGCTGATACATTGTGGGGTCTAAAATGTATATTTCGAAGTGTTACAAACGAAATGACAAACCTAATATACCCTCCATACTATGGCGGAGGGTATAAACATAAACAACAAACTTTCTCTAAAAGTGCGACAATTTCTACGAAAATGCCTGTGAAGGGGGCACATGGTGAAAGGGGGGGGGGGGGGTACATAAAAAACCCTATTCATTGAGAGCCTTTTCTTTATTATCGCAATACGGTGGCCCCTATCCCCCTAATTGTAAATAGAGAGAAATGAATAGTTTCTCTTCTTAAGAGAAATCATCGAAGAGATTTACATAATCAGCTATTCTCTTTCTCCCAACTGTACAGTAGAGGTCAAAACTTAGTTGAGAATCAAAAAAACAGCCAATAGGTATTTTCAATTTCTCACAGAAAACACTCAAAATGTGTGTGTGTGAGTATAACAGATTTACATGCGAGAATTGTTGTTAGTTTGTGTGTTTGCTTGTTGGAGGAGAGTGGGTGGTGTGCTGGTATTGCACACGTTCTGTGTGAGTGTGTAGAGGGCCTTGTGGGCTGCTTGTATTTGTGTACTTATCAAAATGTTGCTTCGCCACTGCTAATTTTTTTTTTTTTTTTGCATTAATTCTGCTGAGGATATATAAATATGTAGATGGCAACAAAACCAACAACCTTTATGGGTGTCTGTGTGACTGAGCTTGATGGGGCTCTGCGCTGCTGCTGCCAGCGCTGCTGCTGCTGCTGATGTATCAAGTACGTCGTGCAGCCAACAAACTTTATTTGTATTATTGCTGAGTGGCTGACTGGCTGGCATTTCGTTGGTTTTTGCTCGTTATATCCGACCGCTGCTGCTGCGTTAGTGTTTGTGTGTGTGTGGGGGAAAAAGTTTGAGCTTGTGCGCTGTAAGAGGGTTTGTGAATACATACTTTTATAGGAATTTGCGCAGTGGAAAATATATTATGAAGAACTTTCTATGAATAGACACACAATAATCAGGCAACGTCAATAATACGACGATGACAAAGGAAGACGAAAAACAACAAACAGCAGCCAAAAAGCAACGAGTAGACGATAAAAATTGCATAAGTTTTTTTAAAGCAGTTTTTTTTTTACTTTTTCGATTTAGGTTTTTTATGATTTAACAAAAAAAAAAGAAGCAAATAATAAAACAATTAAAATAATATAGATAGATATGTATACCAAAAGTATGCAATAATTTTTTTTGCGGAATACCTATACAAACACCTAAATATGCCAAAAGTGATTAAGTCTTCATTGCAAGACATTGAAAATTTGATTGGAATTTAGACGTTACTATTAGTTTTCTATATAAAAATAAATGGACCTGAAAGTTTTAGACCAAATCGATTGTTTACTCCATATAATTAAAATTTCCGCCGAATCTGGGTACAAATAATAAAGTAATGTTGGAATAATGCAGTATTTAATGGTATAAAATCGCCTTGAAGAAAATGCAATTATTCAGGCGCAGTTCGAATGCCAGTGGGAACATGGTATAAATACATTTATTATTAGCTCCGTTCCCGTATTTTCCGTGGTAAAAGTGGCAAAAAGTGTTAGCTGTCTCA